TTTGCGATTTGCATTTTTAAAAGACCACTCACTCTGCCTGCTATATACCTATCAAAAATCAAAATGGATTCTGACATTGCCTTACAAATGACAGACTAGAATTTTATTGTATCTAAATCTAGCCTACTTCATTTGTTCTCCTCTGTATAGTTTAGAAATTGCTGTAAGTGTGGAGTTGTACTTGAATTGTAGTAAGTATAAATAACATTGTGAGACTGCAATAATTATCTCCTCTTTCTCCAATTGCTTCTTCCTTTATTTACAAACTGTGGATTTTAATGGATGGATACTTCAAGTGTAGCCATCTATTTTTTCACTAAGATGCTTTTTATACTTAAAAAAAAAAACCATTCGATATAGTAAAAAGATTCAATGGGGTTTGTTAATTGAATTAAAAGACCCTGAAGGCTGAGTGCTATATCGACACATGAGGTACAATAAAATGCAAATAGCCTTAAGGGACATCTCAATTCGAGCATCATTCCACAATAAAACTGAACAATGTTCAGATGACTGCAGTTATACCTGACAGCAAGTGCTGGAATGACCACTCGCTAACCGAGGTTAAACTCACCAATGACAACCACAGTGACAAAGGCATAGTAGTCGGGCATGAACATCCTAAAAATGTAGAACTCTACAAAGAAGCTCACAGTGGTTTTATAGGATAGGAAATCTCAAATGCAAAAAATGACACAAATCCTACCTCTAACTAGGCAATGATGGACACTGACAGTTGATTTCAGGAACAGTTTAAGAAAAGCTATTCAAATCAAGAATTCAAAGCATGGATAGATTTCCTCCAAGCATGCCTGCAAACTAGCTCTGCAGACTGATGCAAGCATTTATATATAAAGTTTCAAATACACCATTACATTACCCAGAACAACTTTTATCAGAGAAAGAACCCTGTGGCATGCTCAAAAAGACACCAGCTTATCAGTAAACCTTTGGGAATCATGGACAAGGCCACACAAAAACTCCTATTTTCAACTAAGTAGCAAAACCACATGGATAAATATAACTTTGACCTTGATGGCCCACTAGAAGAGATTTCCAAGAAAGGAGGAGAAAAACTACCAAGCCATTTTGCACATGCTTTATTCCTTAACACATGAGAGAAAACTTAGGCAAAGAAAATGCCACAGGATTTCAGAGATGTCACTACCACCTTCAAAAGGAAAAATGAGAAATGTTGAATAAAACAATCTGTCTTCTTGTCCCTTATTACAGGCAATATCCTGACTCTCAAGTAGACCACTATACAAAATATCCCATCACTTCCATCTGTCACTGCTGAGTGGCTCTAGACTACAACCTGGAACAGTAGACATGTTCTGGCAGTATAAACATAAAGGAGTCTGGAAATAACCAAGGCTTCTATGCTTTTATTAGCCTTTAAAAATACATTTAATTCTACAAGACAATTGACCTGGATTGTTCAAAAATATCAATGACATGAAAGATAAAACAAGGCAAGGGAAGTGTTCTACATTAAAAGAGATTAAAGAGACATGAAAACCAAATGTAATGAATAATTCTTGACAATGCTGGAGCTAAAAAAAATAAGCAATAAAGAATATTTTTGGAATTAGAAAAATCTGAATATGGACTATTTTTCTTGAATGTGATAGTGATATTATGGTTATGTAGGATAATGTCCTTGCTCTGAAGACACACATTCTAGTAATAACTAGGTATGGTGTCAAATAGGTACTACATTTATCAAGGTGATCACCTCATAAGTTATATAAATATCTAATCACTATGGTGTATTCCTGAAACTAACATAATATTGTATCTCAACTGTAATAGAGAAATAAAATTGTATTTAATTAAATACATATTCTAAATTATTTAGGGGTGAAGTACTAGTTCTACTTAACAGTTTCAAATGGTTCTGAAAAAAAAAAAAGCATATATATGTAGAGAAGAACAAAGCAAATGTGACAAACGTAACAATTTTAAGAAAGCTAGACGGTTGGGGTGTACACAGTACTCCTTCAATTTTTCCATAGGTTTGAAATCTTTTCAAAACAAAAAAATGGAGGATTAAAAAAATGTACTTAGCACCTCTTTGAACTTGAGTGTTTACTGGATAGATAAGAGTTCTCAGATGACTGTGATGGTAATCACGTGGTTCAGATTTTCTATATCCTTTCTTATCCATTCCTAAATAATAATAAAGTAAAATGCCTGCACAACTTCTGGGAGATAATGTGGTGATAATGAGGCATTTAACAAGAGACTATTACCACACATTCATAACCTAGAATCTAGAATTCTACAACACTCTTTAAAAAGAATAAAGTATGTCTATATGTACCATCATGACAAATATATTAACTAAATAAAGCAAACAGCAAACAGGTCAAAATTAGGAGACACATACAGATAATTAATCAAATGAAAATTCTACCAAAGCCACAGCAGTAAACACCTTTCATTTTAGCTGACTGACATATGAGCTACAGGCCAAATCTAGGGATAGTTCCAAGATTATGAGCAGTATTTATCACCAAATGTCAAAAGGATAATTAAGTACCAGAATGTAACCATCACGCACTAATTCATTCATGAAATATGCACTTACTGAAGGCTACTTTGCACAGTAACTTTGGTGGATACCGATGTAAATAAAATAAGTCTGCCCTCAAAGAGTTTACAGTCTTACTGGGGGAAACAGACAAGCAAACCATTAACCCAAAAAGAGCACAAAGAATATCAGAGAGGTGATGTGCAACTCCAACAAGCAACATGCTAAGAAGACTAACCAATATAAAGCCAAAGGCAGATGAGAGGACCCGCTGAGCACATCTTCAATCAATGCATCTCAGACAGGGCTACAGACTAACAATACTATCAAGCTTACAGCAGATTCATACAATAGAGTTTACTAAGATATATTAAAGTTAAAATGAAGAAATTAAATTCACTTCAAATATTTATTAAGCATGGACGATGCCAAGAATTTTGCCCATAGCCAAATTACAAAGACAAAACTCAGTTCCTACCCTCAAGGTGTTCATATAAAAAGGTTATTTCTCCTCTCTCTTAAAATAGAAGTATGCCATTAACAAGCACATTTCTAACATACATAATGCAGATGATTATAATTATACATAATTACATATAATTACATTATATATAACAACATAAATAGAAAAATGCTATTAACAAGCAATTAAGGTTGAGGAATCTAAAGAAATACTATAAAAGCTACCATTTCTTAAGAACTGACTCTGTGTTAGGAATGCATACACCACCATAAAGGGTTAAAATCACCTCCACCTCAATACCCCTACCCCGTTACAAAGCTATGTTTTGAACTCAGGGCTTTGTCTCTCCCAAGGCTCAGTTCCTGACATTACATTATGCTGCCTCTTAACAACAACAAAAAAAGGTTCAAAATAATAGAAATAAAAACAATACAGAAAACAGCACAGACATTGGAATGTAAAATACATTTGATGTGTACATAAAGACCAAGTTTTGTGACTGCAGATTATAGAGCTGGTATTTGCTTAAGTGTTTAATTTTGAATTAAAGAAAACAAATCTATCAAGAAAACAAAACTAAAAGAGAAAAGTTTATATATGGACTATTACAATTTATAACTACATTTTGGAAGAGTATAAAGGTCAGCCTCAATATTTCAGTTTCCTCACCATCAAGAGGTCATCTTATGTCTAAATCAGGAGTAAGGAAACCACACCCAAGTCAAATTTGGCCCGCTGCCAATTCCTGTAAATAAAGTTTTATTGAAATACAGCCAGGCCTGTTCATTTGTGCATTGTCTATAGCTACTTTCCTGCTATAACAGAAGAGCTGAACAGTTGTGATAGAGATCACATGGTCCACAAAACCTAAAATATTATCTGGCCCTTTACAAAAAAAAGTTTGCCAACTCCTGGTTTTAAGTGATAGCCATATATACCACAAATGGTAGAAAAATAATTAGCCTTTTCATTTCAGCTCTATTAAAGCTTTATTATAAACTCTACCTGATTTAAGTTCTCTTCCTTCATAATTAGTATCAATTAGTAAATGCTAATGAGTTTTTGAATTTCCACAAGTATGTTCACATTTCAGTTATTTTCCACAGAGTAGGTCTTACTTTAGCTGCCCAGAAATCTATCCTTCACAATATCATTACAAAATCCTAATTAAGGCACATTTGCAATTACCCCCACATATACTTATCCCTCTACTGCATACAATCTGCAAAGATACAGACAAGGAACAACTAGATATAGACACAACAGCTAATATGACTAAAATAATTCCTAATACCCTGTTCACACTAGAACATCTCAGTCAATGGCCATTTAGGACCAAAAGCATCAGCATCACCTGCCTGCTTATTAGAAATGCAAATTCATGGCCTCATTCCAGACCTACCAAGTGATTCTTATACACACTAAAAGCTTAAGAACTACTGCACAAAAACAGACTTTATAGTACTTACCTTGAGTGTGAAAAGACTGATGCGGCCAGGCAGTTTATAAAATAGCCCCTCTCCCCCTCTTGAATTGGAATGTAGCATGGCATTGAGACACGCAAGAGGGGATGTCCCACTGTAAAAACACAAGGGTGGGTGAGGGTCACACAAATCAGTATGCTTACTTACTCAAAGATCTAATACCCTCCAACTAATTTCTAAATCAAGAAAAAGCAGAGCAAGAATCGCACAACAACAATTCCACTTTGAAAGTAGCAAAAGATAACAGATGAAATTCACATCACACCCAGTATACTCTGGGATAAGACACGTTTTGTGATACACCTGAGCCATACTTGACACTTATCTAGTGCCTTTTGATACAATGAATCACTCTCTCAAGAAATTTAGAAAAACTACACATTTTTCAAAGTCACTTAGGAGTTTTGAAAAAACACTACCCAATAATTTTATAGTTCTTAAATTAAAATTTAATATTAATTAAAAATAAAACCAAGTTTCCTAGCTTCTGTATTTCAACCTCTATATTATGCTCAGAAACTGCCACATATAACATGATCAACACAAAGACCACAGAATCAATGGTGCCCCCCCCAAGAAAACAAGCATAGCTTTTTTGTTCCCAGTTAAATATTTTCTAATAAGCACACAAAAGAATCATGTTTCATTTGCTTTCTCTCTGTGTGTAAGGGGTAAAGATGGGTTTTATTCTAAATCTACCCAGGAGCAATCACTTAAATTTGAATATAAAAAGAAAAGTAAGTCAAATGGATTTAGTGCCCAATAATGCTCAAAAAAAGATGGCATATTAAGTTATTTCATGATCCCTGCTACAAAAGTAGGTTGAAAAACAATGACAACTCAGTGAATTAGAGGCTACTTACTAAATCTTAAAATAGAAAAGCTGTCAAAAATACAGACAACTGACCATTATTAACGTTTGGCACTAGCATGCTTAATGGTAGTGTTCACCTGTGTACCTTTTCTTCCCTCTCCCCAGTATGTTAAAAAATATATATCTTAAGTAAAACCTCTTGGCATTTTTCAGAACTAGAGGCCCTAATTTATGCAGAATGTTAAAAATAATTTCTAAGTCTAAAAGAGTCATTAAAAAAACTCTATTACTTATTCTGCTTGGAACACACAGGATGCTAAAAAAAATTTTCAGCAAGAACCAATCTCTAAAAGAAACCTTGTGCAGAATCTGGAGTATCAAGTGGGTGTGCTAACATCTCTGCTAGAAGGAGGAACAGCATGCTGGTATAATCTTTCTGCAAACAGTGTAACTCCTACACACTATACCCCTGTCTACAAATTACAGAGCTGCTCACTCATCACGAGCCACCATGACTGCTTCAGAATTCCTATAAGAGCAAGAAGCAGAAACAAGTTAAGGTTCTTAATTCCATCTGTCCCAAAGGGACTAATTTACCTTCTATAGGCATAGTGGTCCAACAGCAGTGCAGACAGCAGCATGATGGGAAATAGCCCATAAAAACAAAAATAAAGCACAATTAAAACACTACACAGAGCATAGGTACTATTTAAACAAAAGTGACCTAGACAATCCTGATCTTCCCTCCCCACAGAATGTTACCTTGAGAATGTTTGAACTGACAACTGGAAAGTGAGTATGTTTTGACCCTAAAAGGTCAATTCCAAGCAGCTAGAGCTTAATCTGTAAAAACATACGCTGTCTGTTCTGAGTCCCAGGAAGAGACTGTGTTGAGCTCCCCTCAAGGAAAAAGGAAAAAGGAAAAAGAAAAAGGAAAAAGGAAAGGAAAGGAAAAGAAAGGAAAAGAAAGAAAGAAAAAGTATGGAAAGGAAAAAGGAAAAAGGAAAGGAAAGGAAAGGAACAGAAAGGAAAGAAAGAAAAAGTATGAGTGAGGAAAGAAAAGGATTAAGGGCAGTCACTGTTTTTCATGCCTGCAATTCCTTTGTTTCTAACTTGTTGCTTCTTTAGGCAAACTATATCATAGGATAACAAAATTAAGGTCATCTCAAAATTTACTATATCCATATCATGAATGGCTAGAATCTGTAGGGGGGGGAAAGCCAGTGGGTTTTATGGTGATGAGACCACCCTTCTTTGATCCTAAAACAAAGGACTTCAGAAATACAGTACAGAGAGAAGGGTAGTTTTAGACCTGTTAGAGCCTATCAGAGTCTGCCCTACTCTATTAATGAAACTTATAAAACAGAGTACAAGAGAAAATGTGCCGATTCCTACACAAAAAACAAGCTCCAAGTCAAGATTTAAGGAAGAGCAAGTACGGGAAAGCCGCTGGACCTCTGATGAAAACAAATGGATGTTCACCCACTCCCATCTTCCACTCTGAGGACACACAACCTGGGAGATAGTTTCACACTACCACCAGACACAGAAGCACATATATATGTATATGTAGACTTATATCACTACATAACTATGGAAAGACACACATCCTATGAAACCCTCATGCTAAGCAACAAAAACAATACAAACCTCATTTCCTTTAGTCCTTCTGCTTCTATAACCTGCAGAATCTGTTTTGGTGTCATTGGAGCATCTGAGTAGTTTTCTAGTACCTGAAGAAATATAAATGTTCTGATTTCAGTGTGCAATTTCCATTTATATCCATCAACCTATGTCACGTGCTCCAGTTCTGCTGAGGTATCACTGCTGACAATGTATTTTCCAGTTAAAATTACTTCGGAAACCAAAATGCTAAAAGTGACTGTAATTAGCTAAAATATTCTAATGCTCAACGCTAAAAACATACATCTTCTTAGCATATGTGTTATGGTATATGGGGCCTTAGCAACCCTGCTTACTGCTTAACTTGATGTTAATATAACTAAACCACAGAATACATAGTTCTACACAGTAATTTATAAGTCAGAAATGCATTCAGATTTCTTTCTCAAGGAAGACTGATTAGTACTCATATTGTTAAATGATGATTTTTGCCACTATATTGTGAAATTCTGGTGTTAACTGCCACAGCACATTTTGCCATTTGGCAACATGACACTGATTCTACATGATTACTGCAAGTAAAATAATGAGAAACAGAACATCCCATTTATGTTAGCATCATCTACAACTAAGTTATGGCAGTAGTTTCTTACTGAGCAACTGCGGTTCTGATTTTAAGAGGTTGAGTTGTTTTAGAAATGTTATCCTTCTTAGGGAGGAAAAGGTCAGACTGTCAGTATCTTTGTACTGACTCTATCTGTGCAAGTGCTGAGGTTACTCCAAACTACTAACATCTTAAAGTCATTTCACAACAGTAACAACTAAGTAAGTACTGCTCTGTCACAAATAAAACATAAAGCAAGAAGTCTGACAGGACGGCTGCTGAAGGCTCTCGCTGTAGAACATGAGCCCTTAGAACAAAAGGAAGTCAAATTTTGGAGAAGTGCTAAAATAAAACCCTTATTTACCATGATCCCATTCTTAGCTTCTCTTTTCAATTTTCACATTCTCCTTCGGTAACACCATGTCTCACAGTTTCAACTACTACCTAAATTCTGATAACTACCAAATCTCTACCCCTAGCCTGGATTTCTCCCCAAGATTCAGACTCAGATATTCAGTTCTGCACTGGCCATCCCCCTCTGATCGTCTACTCTACTTCATCTCCCCTTTTCTTCCAATATTCCCTCTATTGGTGGGCAGCCTATCTAATCACCTAATACAGAAACCTATGCGTCATCTTTCACTCACCTGTCCCCCAGTTCCCAGTTTCTTACCTGACCCAACGCAACAGACACTAATATCCCTGCAACCAGCCCTGCTTTCCTCAAATCCATTCTTACTCTGTTGCCATCCTTCATTGAACAAATTTATGAATACTGTGTGCCAGGAACCAGTCTAGGAAATCATCAGTATACAAAACAAATCTCTGCTCTCGCAGAACTTACCTGCTATACCCTGAGGTCAACCCAACAAAAGAAAGAGGCCCTCATCACTTTCCTGCTTTAAAATCCTTCAACAGCAGCCTAATCACATACAGCAAAAGCTGAATCTTGGCCCACCAGAAAAACACAGGCTTTAGAACCAGACAGACCAAGAGTCAAATTCTGGCCTTCTAAACTTGGGCAAGTAACCTACCCAATCTGAGCCTAGGTTCCCTCATCTGTGAAGGAAAGATACTGATGTCTTCCTCTCAGAGTTGTTTTACAGGTTAGAGATAATGTAAATGCCTACAGTGCCTGGCACAAAATAAGTACCTACTGGCTTGACATACAAGGCCCTCACAATCTGATCTGTGCCTCTCTACTTAATACTGCCACAAACTTTATGTTCCAATAACTACATGTAGTTCTACCCAATTCTCCACCCTGCAAACACACACACACACACACACACATACACCTGCTATTTCTTGTCACTAGCTCCTGCTCACATCCTGTGATGGGCCTAACTCCTCCTCGCCCTTCAAAATTCAGTTCGGAAATCACCTTCCTCCAGGAAGCCTTCTCTGATCTCTGCCAGGAAGAGGTAAATTGTCTTTTCAGTGTCCCCATAGTTTTACAACACATATAATTTACCTTCCAAAGCAGGACACTTGAGAGTGAAAGGAGGAAGTGTTCAAAATTATAATAAGCAGGACAATAAGCAGGAACCAGGATGTCAATTTACCATTTATACATCTATGATGGCACTTATCATGCCTGTGATAAAATTCTGTTCATGTGCCTGGACCTTCCCCATCCCCAGAAGACCATAACCTAAAGGGCAAATCTTACCCATCTCTGTATTCCAAGAACCTAAGTACCAAGTTAGACAGTGTTAACTTGAAAAATCTCGCAACAAACTCTGGGACAAGCTACTAATGTTCGCTGCCACAGATACAATTTATTTGATACTGTGAGCTGAGCTTAACGAATTTTTGCAGCATAACTTTAAGAAGCATGACTCTAAAAAACTAGTTACCAATTATTTTAAACAACAGTCAGGAAGAGCCTGAGAATCTAAGACAGAGGAAACAAAATTTCTAAAGGCAAGTTACATTAAAAGATACAAAGTATTCACTTATTAAAACTGTATATGTTTTCAGCTTTTAGTATAAGAACAATTCAGCAGTGTTCTATTCCTAGTCTGTCTTTCTAGATGGCACTTTAAAGAAAAGGAAAAAAAAGTATCTCTTCCTCTACTTCAAAGGGAAAAAAATGTTTGATGTAAGAATGGTCAGTCATGAATCAAAGTGAAAGATAAAGCTGTGCAATAAAGAGTTTCTCAAAGCCAAGGAGAATCCATTTAAGGGCATTCAATTTAAAGGAAAATCCCCCTGGCTATTTTTCCCAAATTGTTCCTAACAAACAGAAGCATTTACACCCCTTCGACCCTCTAAAATCTACCTCTTACATCTAGAAAAGACAATACTACAAAATATTTGATATAATATCTACTTCTCAACAACATAAATAACATCCACAAAAATCAATTTCCTGGGGCATACTATGCTGAAATTCTCCAGAAGTCTCTTCTTTCCTACCAAAAAACTTTTTAAAAGGGTTCTCAAGTATCACTCTAGCCACCAGTTTGAGCAAGGTTAAAAACAATATGAAATGCCGACAAGCAAGTGCATCTGATTGCCATGGCAAACACCTCAAATTCACCTGTCCAAAGAGTATTTAGATCTAATCTAGTGCCCTCTCATTTCAGCTCACTCTAGTCAAGCTTCTCTCTGTACAGTGATAAGCTCTCAAACTGTCCAGCACTCAGTTTGTTACAGCAATTTTTTAAATGGGGAGAAGACTCTAAAAGTCCCTCACCCCAACGAAAATTCTAAAACTAAAAACAATAAAAGATATGCAAATCTACATACCATATTCCCACGAGTCTTCTAACATTTTTAAGTGCACCACAAAGTAATTTCAATTTGTATTTCTATTTTTTAAATTAAGAGCCATAGAAGAAAAAGAAAACTTACTCAGATAATCCGGCATGAAGTTGAGCAAATAACAAATAGCAACCTGTATACTGAAGTTCAGATCACAGTTAATTCAAGAACCTAAAGAGGCTTAACAAAATAGCAGACCCCAAATTCCTAGTCTTTCAACCAGTAAAAGCCAACATAGCATTGAGACAAATAGACTTTAGAATTCTGTCAGGACATAAAAAAATTTAAAGGTACTTTCACCTAGCTCTAATAACTAAAACTCTGGCAAGCAAATTTCCTTTCAGTGCCCAGAGCAATAAACACCTGTGTTAACAGGAACTCAGATGAGAATGTCAATGAACACCCAAGACTCAACCTCAAGAGAAAGAGAGCACATCCTTTTGGCTCTCCTTTACTCTCCTTCAGGCCTATAATCTGTTTCCAGGTGAAGCAACACTGGAGACATCCCGAAATTCCCAAGAGATCCTGAAAGCTAGCCAAAGCTTCCAATTTTGATTAAATCAGAAAATATTTAGGAACTTCGAAAACAGCTTTAGTTCTTGCAAACCAATAACTGAGTTTTACAGGCTCCAAGAAAGAAAAAGGTGTACCACAGATTTGTAACAACCTTCAACACATATTCACCTTTTTGCACAACACCTCTGAGGCAGGAACTCACTTTCCAGTAAAAAATTAGAAGGTTGAGCTTCATTAAAAGTGAATTATAGCTATTACATATAAACTACAGGGCATCAAGAGACAAGTAATGGTATCTGCACTATAACCCCACTGTGACAGTTCTGAGGAAGTGACATCTCTGGGAGAAACGTAACATGTTACTATTGCCATCAGCAAGATTTTATAAGGACATGTCTCGAAGTGTCTTAGTTTTGAGGGTGCGAATCTAAAAGGAAGACATTTCACTTTTAAGGCCTCTGACACTTTGAAAACAGAAAATTCACAACCCCCCCGCCCCAACCCACCAAGCAGCCTCAAATTACTCTCGCCCTTGCTAAGCCCTCAGTGAGCAGTATCTTCAGAGACACTTTGGTCTCTGTCCAACACTTCATATATACATGCACCAGGACACTAAGGAATAAAGAACAGACATAGTCTTTGCAAAGTGTAGTCAGTTCTCTGTAGAGTGCCTATCCCCAGTCTAGTTTATAAAGTAGAACACTCTAGTTAGTGTTCCTCAAAGTGCGGTCCGTGAGCCACCAGCGTTAAGAATCAACCGGGGAAGCTAGTTAAAAAAATACTCAAGCAATACTCCAAAATTTTAGACTCAAAAGGTCTTAACTAGGGCCCTAGAATGAGCATTCCTAACAACCTCCCAGGTGTCCCCATGGAACACTAAAGTTTGAGGACCACTGCTCAGGGTTCAAGCTGGGAGTAGGCACTTGCTTCCCTCCACACACCTGGTTTAGATTGGGAAAGCTCAAAATGCCACTCGCGTCCTTGAAACTGGGGGTGCTACCCCACTCCCTGGAGTCATACGCACCACCCCACAGCCCACCAGGAAGCGAGGGAGGAGCTTCCGACCCTTCCCGGAAACCTAACTCCCCCCGAGTGCATAAACCAAGCTTCCCCAGACCCCCAGACGCTGCCAGATAGTGGGGGAGGGGAGGCTGGGGCCCCGCCGCCCGGAGGGGGAGGAGCCGTCCAGCCAGCTCGCCCCTCCGCAGGAATTTAGAGGTG